TGTGTGTGTGTGTGTGTGTGTGTGTGTGTGTGTGTGTGTGTGTGTGTAGGAGCTGGCCGAGGGGACGTTTTTCTCCTCACTATGGTTTGAAGATGAGGATTTTCTTATCAGTGTGTAAGGACCTTCCTTCAGGTGCTTACCTTCAGTCCCAGAACTCAGGCAGGTGGCTCTCTGTGAGTTCCAGGCCAGCCTGGTATACAGAAAGGGTTCCGAGACCCTGTCTCAAAAACAAACAAACAAACAAACAAACAAACAAACAAACAAAAAAAAAAAAACCCAAAACTAAACTAAACACTTTTTTCATCCAGTGAGGGCCCTGGAAGAGAGCAGTGTTCTGTGTTTTGGAAGAGAAAGTTGAGACCCAGCCAGTCCCTGCCTTAGGCTCTGTGTGTTCGTTCACTCCCTCCCTCATGCACTGGCTAGAAGCTTGCTTTGTGCCAGAAGTGATAGATGCACGCTTCCCGCTTTTTAGAAGCTTGTGTTTTAGTGGAGGGAGACAGACAAGCACCTAAATATCTCGGTAGGATGCAAAGAGCTGTGGAGGACCTTGAGGACCAGAACAGGGCCGGGTGTGCAGGAGATGTGGTCGGAAGGTGACGTGAGGGTGGAAGGCTCTGGAATGCTCACACGGGACCACTGCCCTCCATGGCCCATTGTGACAGTGTCGGTTCTAGAGTGTAGGCCTGAGGTCAGGAAGAACCCAGAGGGGAAATACCCAGAGTGGGAGGAAGAGGGGGGATCAGTGTTGGGCGGTGCCCCCAGGGGCGCAGCAGAGCCCAATGGGTCAGAAGGGCCACAAGGACTCTCTTTACACTTGTAAAGGGTGAGTTCACTCTTCCTTGCTCCCTGTTCCGTTCCTAGCCCTGTCCCCACCCTGCCATTGAGTCTCAGCTGACGCTGTCCCTTTCTCCACTATCGGAAACACTGAGAGGAGGTGTAAACTGTCCCTGTGTCGCTGTGCAGCATGGGCAGCCCAGAGGAGGCCCAGTTGTGAAGTTGGCTAGGCCAGTGAGGCTCTGTGTGCCATGTCCGTCTCTCCCCTCAGGTCTCCTGTGGGCAGCCTCCATGAGGCCCTGGACCAGTGCATGACGGCCCTGGACCTCTTCCTCACCAACCAGTTCTCAGAAGCACTCAGCTACCTCAAGCCCAGGTGAGTTCACTTCCCCAGGCTGGCTGTGCACACATGCTGGGGCACATGTCGGGAGAGCATGGATCAGAGGACCCCCTGTCTGCATCATGCTTTGGGGGTCACTATGACCCCTGAGAAGTCTCACCCAAATGGCCCAGGCACCCCTCCTATGAACACCCAGCCTGTGAACACCCCTCCTGTGAACACCCAGGTGGCTTCCACACTCTTGAGCACCTGGTGACTTCCTATTCCCACTGAATCCACCTAAGGGGGTGCTGGTGGGGAGGACAGGGCTTCCATTTCACTCTACCCCACTCCTTCCACTTTAGGGTCACTCACTGAGCCTTTGGGTAAAATGAGGACTGCTCTTTGAGGCGTTTCTCCATGTTTGCTGCTGGCTGGTTGTTTGGTTCTGAGATAGGGTCTCCAAGCCAACCTCTGACTGGAGAGCCTCCAAGCTCCACTTCCCAAGTGCTGGGGTTCCCCGAATGTGCCACCAGGCCTTGTACACTATTTCTAAATAATATGTACATGCCACTTTTTCTTTCCTAACTGCCCGCCACCACTTCTTTTTCATAGACCATAAAATTTACTTTTGATAAAAATTTTATCGTGTGTGTGGGGATAGGTGGTTGTGTGTGTGTGTGTGGTTGTGTGTGTATATAAATTAGGGAACAAGGTCTTTCCTGCTGCTTGGTGAGATCTTGGGGTCAAACTTGGGCTATCAGGCTTGCATAGCTGAGCCATATCACTAGCCCAAAATTCAGGATTTTGTTACTTAAAAAAAAAAAAAAAAAAAAAAATCTTATCTCAGCCAGGTTGGTGGTGGCACACGCCTTTAGTCCCAGCAATTGGGAGGCAGAAGTAGGTGGATCTCTGAGTTCGAGGCCAGCCTGGTCTACAGAGTGAGTTCCAGGACAGCCAGGATGACATAGATCCTTCCTCAAAAGAAGAGAGTTTAGCTTTCTTACCTGGACACTAGGTGCTTATCTTTAACCTAGTGCTTACGAGGTAGAGATAGAAAGTTCAGAGGCATCTTTTGCTGCCTAACACATATCAGGGCAGCCTGGGCTACATCAGCTGTTACCTTGGAAAGTAAAACCAAAAGAATGTGTCTTTCCTACCCACATTCTTCTCTTTGCCTCACCCATCTCCCTTTTACCGTATTAACAATATTTGACCAAACCACTAATTTGTGTTATTATACCTGCATAATCATTGCATCGCTTATACTATGGTCAAGGGAAAACAACAACAACCAACCAACCACAGCACCCATCATCCTAAAGGAAACAGGAGAGGCTTTGCTCTGCAGCCATTTTGAGTTCCTGGAACACGGATTTAGGTAACCCCAAATTCCACGTTCCCATGTAAAAGCAGTCTCGGGATGTTTTTGTAGTCTTACAGAACTGAGAAAGTCATAAATCAAGGCAAGTGTGAAATCCACTGGTGGGTACGTCAGAGGGGCAGGCACAAGCAAGATGAGGGAGGCCTCACTCCAGCCTCCAGATGCTATCTTACGGCATCCATAGCTTCTGGATTGGTGGGAGCCAATGGCTGGCTAAGCTAATAGACTCCAAAATGTCTCTGTCTGTTAGTCACAGGATGTTAGTTCACATACAGAGGTGGACAAAAATGGCTGTTCTGGAGGGCGAGCACTCGCCCGAGGTAGGGTCACCAGCCCGGAGCTGGCAGCACTCCTGTCTCTCCACAGCACTGAAACTCCAGCGAGCTGCAGACACAGCGTCATCCCAGGAGTCTGCCTCACAGCTCTGTGCTTATTGCTCACCACCGAGAGAGTTGTGTGTTGGCTGGTGTGGACGGCATCTCCTTGCCGGGATTGGCAGTGGTCTTGTTTCTGCATTTCCTGATTTGTCCTTTATGCTCAGCTCTTTGTAACTGCCACAGGATGGCGCCATAGCAACCCCCCAAGTGAGCTGTGAGTCCTGCCGGGAGATTGGTGTCTCCTGGCTGTGTCTGGCTCTCCCTGCCTTCCCCAGCCCCTTCTGCCTCACCTCTGTTCTCATGTTGCCTTCACTTTACCAGAGCGTGTTTTCAGAGGCTTGCTAACAAGGAGTTGCCTAGAGATTTCTTTTTTTCTTGTCAAAAGTTTGAATACTTCGGTCACCTACTTCTCAGAAGCTACAGCTACTGTGCTGGACAGCAGTGTCAACTTGACACAAGCCAGGGTCATCTGAGGGGAGGGAACCTCAACTGAGAAAATGCCCCTCTAAGATCAAGCTGCCGGCAAGCCCACAGAACAGTTGTTAAATTAGTGAGTGGTGGCGAGAGCTCAGTCCACTGTGGGTGCCGCCGTCCATCCCTGGGCTGGTGGTCCTGGGTTCTCTGAGAAAGCAGGCTGAGCGAGCCAGGGGGAGCAAGCCAGTGAGCAGCGCCCTCCATGGCCTCTGCATCAGCTCCTGCCTCCAGGTTCCTGCCCTGTGTGAGTTCCTGCCCTGCCTTCCTCCAGGGATGAACTGTGATTTGGAAGTGTAAGCCAGATAAACCCTTTCCTCCCTGATTGGCTACCGTGATTTCAGCCCAGCAGCAGTAACCATGACTAAGACAGCTGGGTCCTCGACCTTACTCTGTGAGTGATCTTTTCTGTCCTGTCTCAGAAATATTTCAGGTCTTGTCTTATTCCCGAATGTCCACAGCAGTGGGCTGGGACAAAGGTCTCTTTCACTGCAGTAAGAGACCATTGCAATCAACTCATTCTCTTCTAGAAACTTCCCTTAATCTCCTGGTCCCTTTCCCTTAAGCCAAGTGTAGGGTTTCCCAGGACAACCTTCTCTACTCTTTTCATCACCTCCCTTTTCGTTTCCATTTATTTTTTAAAATGTGTATGTGTGTATGCGTGTGTGTGCATTCATGTGTGTGTGTCTGTGTGGCCTCTGCACACATGTTGAGGTCAGAGGACAACTGTCAGGAGTCAGTTCTCCTCTTCCACGGTGTGGATCTAGGGGTTCAGCTCAGGTCGTCAGACTTGGCGTGAGTGCCCTCACACGCTGGGCCGTCTTGCTGAACCCCACTTGCTCTTCCACCTTTCCCTTCGTGTGTCATTAAGCGAAGCCCTTTCTTTGATTTCTCGTTGCTCCCGTGGTCGTGTGCCTGACTTCCCAGCACTCCGGGCTGTTCCTCCCGACGTTCTTTTTCGCCCTTAATATCTTATACTTTCTTTCCCTGCTTCCCCGAGTGTGCGCATGTGTGAGAGGCACGTGTGTCGGGGTGTGTGTGTGTATGAGTGTAGGAATGCATGTGGGGGCCCAAGGGTGATGTTGGAACCATCCTTGATTGATCTTTCATCTCACTGGTTGAGGCAGGGTCTCGGAATCAAGTCCGCCCAAGGCCTGATGGTGGGACTTGCTCTGGGGGTCCCCTGTCTCCACATTCTTAGGGTGGCATCACAGGGGTCATCATACCCACCCAGCATTTTTGCGGGTTTCTGGGGATCCTCCAGCCCTGTGTGCAGACTGCTTTAACTAGCGAGCTGTCTTTCCAGCCCTCCCCCTTTATCTGCTTACATGTACTTTACGTGTGTGGGTATTTGCCTGCATGCGTGTCTACACGTCATGTGGGCCCATAGAGGCCAGCAGAGGGCTTCAGATCCCCTGGAAGTGGAGCTAAAGAAAATTCTGAAGTGCTGGGAATTGAACCCAGGTCCTTTGCAAGAGTAAAGGCTTTCAACTGCCGAGCCACCTTTGCAGCCAGTGCCCTCTTTTCTTTGAGACAAAAATCTTACTGTGTAGCCCAAGCTGGCCTCGGGCCTGAGATCCTCCTCCCTCAGCTTGCCCACCTCTGGGACTGTGTGCCCCACTTCTAGGACACTCTGTTTCCTGAGGCATTTCAGGCTGGGAGGTCAGTGGCAAGCGCCCTGCACCTCACCTTAAGGAGACCAGCATTATCAGATGTCCCAGGGACTAAAATCACACCCCACTCAGGACCACCAAAGACTGCCCAGAAATTGTCAGATTCCCTTCTACTCGTCGGACTCACAAGTACCTCCTTCCTGCCACAGGGAACCCCTGCTCTGGGACTGTGGTCTACAATGACAGCAGCACGGTCTCTTGGCCCCGGTTATAGCCTTTGAGGTTTCAGAGAAGGTTGGGTCTATAGCCATTCACTGCTCTGTGCCGTAGACAGGTCTGCTCAGCCGCCCTGACCCTATCAAGGGGTAGCACGCCTCGCCTCCTCTGATCATAATCAGGTTTAGCACGTGCCCTTCCTGCCTCCGAATCTGCTCCCTAGAGGCCACATCTCTGAATAACAATGTCGGTTTATGGTTCTCAGGAACTGTCGGGAACACGGAGGCCACTCCAGGCTTTTTTCCTGTTGAATAAATAGCCTTGGCTTGTCAGTGGCAGAGCTTAGATTTAAATCCAGCCCACTCTGTGCTGCAAGCTCCACGCTGACTGCTGAGCTCTCCTGGGTTCTCATTCAAGGGGGAAGGGACACCTCGCAGGGAAGGGCCTCATACGGCCTCCTCTCAAAGAGTAGGGAGGCAGCAGAAAAGGGCATGCTCAGAGACAGCTGAGTTCCAGATTCGGGAAGTTCAGGGAATGCCTGAGTCTTCCGGGTGGTGGGCTGGTGAGGGCCAGGATTCCTGATCACTGTACATCTTGGGTCCTTGGGTCTCAAACCAGAAATTCCACTTTGTCTGCCAGCTGCCTGGGCAGGGCTCCTTCCTTCCCGGAGCAGCAGGTGTGGCTGGGTGTGTGGGGCTGAGTCCTGGGGCCCAGCAGTCACTGGAAGAGAGAAGCAGGACTCGAGAGACCTGGGGAGGAGGCTGGGATGTTCTCAGGGATGCTGCTGGTCCTGTTAGGAAAGTGACTCCAGACACCAGTGGGACAGAGGGACTCACATTTCCTGAGCAGCGGTGATGTGCAGATCTGGGAGAACATTTTCAGTCACTCTAGAAGCTCCCTGCCAGATTATCGTGTTCTTCCTTTCATCATTTTTCTTCCTTCCTTCCTTCCTTCCTTCCTTCCTTCCTTCCTTCCTTCCTTCCTTCCTTCCTTCCTTCCTTCCTCTCTTTCTTTCTTTCTTTCTTTCTTTCTTTCTTTCTTTCTTTCTTTCT